GTTTTCTTATAGTTCTACTTTAAATCAAAATAAATGTAAAAAGCCAACAGGAAGATCAGCATTCCATTATAATGGCTGCAGGAAGTGGGCAGACAAATGTTCACATCTTGCCCTGAAAGCCTCTAAAAGTTAAAATAGCTGATGGGGTGATTCATCTCTTGAGATCTGGAAAGTGCGGTAAGATTCATTTTGAGTGGGCTAACCAATTAAAAGGGTACCCACCTCTATCCAGATGAGTTGTAAAACCCCCTTCTTTTTACGTGTAGATTTGACCAGCAGGAATTGTGTATCTTGCATCTCAACTGATCAGCTTCTTACAACTCCCCCAGAACTACATCCATGTCTATGCTTACATTTCCCAGCAAGCAATAGTGTTCAAAAGGTTTTCCAAGGCTACAGTTACGTTGTGCTAAAAAAGCCAAGGTAAAGTAGCCATGTAGCTGTTTTGCAAGCGAGCCACAAATGGCTGATGCCTAGCAGGTCAACCCAAAACAGTCATTATCGCTCCTAAAATGCAAGGTTTTCCACTACTCTGCCTTAGAGGGAAATATGCTATTAAAGCAAGAGTTTCAGAACAGTGACTGTATGCTCTATATGCAGTATAGTGCCTTAGCCTTTTTCATTGCTTTTTTTTTAACATTTTTATTTTTTACTTTTTTATTTCATGCAAATATTATTTTGTAGAGCAGTTTAAATGATGATGGCTCCTTTGGATCTAGCTTGCTGTAAACACTGCCAAAAACACCATAGGGTTTTGTTTTTGCAGTGTGTTTCTGCTACAATTCAATGAAAATGTTCTATCGCTACTAAAATGAAGTATGTTGTGTGTAATCTATATTTATTGGAATAAAAATGTATTGTACACTGCAAGACGGGATGCTGGATTGCTAAATTGATTGTAGATGTTTCAAATTACATTATCAAGTTACTCATATGTGACCTAGCATACTGCATAGCATATCTGTAATGGGACTAAAAATATAGATGGTCTGTTCACATACGTGTAATAGCTCCTGCTTTGGCACGTTGTCCAAGTAATTACCGCAAAAAGGCAGGCTTCAATTCTAAGGTATCTAGGTGGGCTGCACATATAGATTTTTCCTAAAATAACGGAAGTCCCTAAATTTAAAATCAAAGGTGATGCTAATTCCAGGCATGTCAAAATTTGGAGCAGAAATATATTTTCAATCTTGTTCATTAAGTTAATTGTTCATTAAGGGACACACAGGGAATCGGAGACTATTGGGTTATACAGCTGCCTACAGGAAGATTCGGGCACTGACAAACAAAAACAACCAGTGTCTAGCCAGGTATAACCACTCCCAGCAAGCCTCAGTTTTTTTGCTAGTGTACTAGGCAGATGGCATCTTTTCTTTGAGAAAACTATTTTTTTGGGGGGGGTTTGGCAATCCAGACTTCATCTACATCCTGCTGAACTGGGCTTTTTATGCAGCTATCGAGATTAGCACATCCTCTGCAATCGATTTGGAGACTGTATCCAGACCCTGCTGGACTAAAGATTGCGAGCCTGTCTGCCATTCGACTTTCAAGCACTGGGCTCTGTTTGTGGTACTTTCTAAACATTTGTGTGCTGTGTTAGCTGCAGAGTGATTTCCAGGTCTAGAGCCCAGACAATCTGGTGTGACCCAGTCTCTGAAGACTCTTTAAAGTGTAGACCATGTGGGGAGAGCATCAAAGATTCTTGTATGTATGTATGTATGTATGTATGTATGTATGTATGTATGTATGT